TTGTCTATGTCTATGAAAACTATTTTATAAAACCTGGCAAAGTATATTTTTCTTGTTGAAGAAAGTCAATTAATTTAAAATCTATTTTTGATCTAAACAAAAAAATATAGATTTGATCAAAACAAAAATTCTCATTTAAGAAATTTATTTTTATTATAGTTTTCATAGACATAGGAAATATTGTTTAGGACAAGTTATTATTTTTTTTCGTTGGCTCAATTTAAAAATATATAGATGTGAATCATTACCCTAAGTTTTTTTAATTGGATGAATGTAACATTTTTTTCAGTGTAATTTCCAAGTTAAATCTATATCAGTTGTTTTATTTTTCCAATTTGTTAAACTAGAAAATTAAGAGAAAAGCAAACAAATAAAGGAACATTCATGCAATGTTCTGTTTTATTTTAAATCAATTCCAAATGTTAATTTAAAAACACAACAAAACATGAATTTTTTATCTGAAAACATTTCCCCATAAAACATGAAAAAATTAGTTTAACAAACAAACTAACATAAAACAATTTATCTCAGAATCACAACAGATGGCATCAAAACTATATGGTTTTATTCCACTCTGAGTTCACAATATTGGCAGTACTGAATTTTAGGTGCTAACTCACCTTTTCCGAGGTTGAGCATTACCTGCTGAATAAAATATAAAGTGCTTTTCATGCACTTAGTCCAGGTGCAGAGCATAAATCAGTCTGAACAAATGGACATAGAAGGCCTGAGATCGTTCGGTTCATCCATTACAAAGTTTTCATCCAAGATGATTCCCACTCTAGCTGGGTTAGCTGTGGACTTGCTTGATCAACGCTGAGGATTCTTACTGGAGTCTGTCTTGTCAGCTGCATCCTAACAGAGGAAGAAACAGATCGATAAAGACATTATCAAGTCAGTTAGATAATGCTGTTGTTAAATACTCAAGATCATATGCTGCGTTCACACCATGTTCTACTTAGAGCTGTTCATGTATCAAGTCAGTTAGATAATGCTGTTGTTAAATACTCAAGATCATATGCTGCGTTCACACCATGTTCTACATAGAGCTGTTCATGTCCTTGGACCGGGAAGTGTGTGTTTCTATGGCAACACTATTGATGCCTAAATTAATCTGCAGCAGTCAGGTACAAGTAGAAGCTCTCAGAAAATTCCCAGATTACAGATGGTCATTATGAGTTCTACAAGGACATGAATTATTTTTCCAAGTTGGAATCTTGTAATTATGGCAAATACAACATGGGATGAATGCACTTATACGTACCTGGTTTACTGTAAAAAGAGCTGGCCTTTGAAATGCCATCTGGGCTTGTCGTTTGCAACTTTTCTGTGAAGAGCAAACATTAAAGTTACAGTCTTTATAAGGGCATCTGACTTAAGGGTTTACATTTAATTGTGCAGTGTGCCAGTCAATAAAGTGATCCTCCTCAGAACAGGTCTCCGTTAACCCACATGACATACAGCTGATCTGGAGTTTTGCTGTGAGGTGGCATAAGTGTACATTTTAGTGCATAAAGTAATTTAAATGTATGTACATGCCTGATGTGAACAACGACATTGTTTCGTTCTTGTATAACTTCCATGTTTGAACATAGAGACAGGGTTTCACAGACAGGGCTTAGCTTAAGCCAGGACTAGGCCTTGGTTAAATTAGGATATTTAAATAACTTTTATAAAAATCTTCATGCACCAAGAGCTTGTAACACTCCAAAGAGAAAGGAAAACTTGAACTTGAAATCACATCATATGACCCCTTTAATGTTTATATAACGTTTGCTGTGCTCTCTTTTCACAGTTATGAGGGCCATACTTACACTTCCAAAGCATCTCTTCCATTTCTTCTTCCTTCCAAAACAAGATAGTCATTAAAAGGGCTCTGAACCTAGATAGAACAGAAGTATATTCATCCGTTTTTGTATTTATACCGTTAATTAATTTAAACGTACTCTTTCAAACAACAGCCATGTCTATTAAACGTGGTCGTTAAATTATTGCACTCACCATATTAGCGCCACCATCGTCTCCTCCGCTGCAATCGCGGCTGCTGTATGAGTAAAATTAACTTACACTCCTCATAAACAACATCGAGTGAAAAAGAAAAAGGAAAAGATGAAAATAATCTCAGTCGATCTCGCTGGTCCGAGGTTCAAGCGCGGTTTTGTCCGCTGCTGGCGCGCGAGAAAGCTAACGTTAGCTAACGGATGAGAAATGTCCCGTTGTTTACAAACAATTTTCGCCAATCACAGTCTCTCGAGGAAAAGAAAGAGCGATAAAAGGTAAATGGCGGCAAATAACGCCCATACAACTAACTTATCTAAAACAAAGTTTCCACCTTCTCATCCACAGCTCGTTGAATTCACACACAACCGCATTACTGTGACAAAATGGCGTCGTTAACTGACTCGCAGCACCAGTGTGAGGAGGCGTGGTCATGATATAATCTTAATAATGAGTTAATCTAACCTTGATATTTTACATTCGTCAAAACAAATATGTTTTAGTTGAGCTCCTAATGAAAAATATTTATATTTATCAATATTTTGAACTAAAAAAATATTACTTGAAAAATAAAACAAATAATGGTGCTGTAGCACTTTTTATTTGCAAACATGAAAAGTCAGAATGGGCTTATAAAATATGGTTTTCATTTAAACCCATACATGTTCCAAACAAGCCCATAATCTATGTTTAATGCTTTATATTTTATTAATAATATATTTAGTATATTATATATTATTATATATAATATATATAATGACGATTATGCAATCAAAACAGCTCCACTTAGAGCACTAATGAAACAGGTGGGCCATCAAAATCTTAAAGCACCCTTGATAAGGACTACTGATGCATTAATAGCATTTGAATAATTGAAAAAAAAAGAGTTACAGAATGCTCCTGTCTTGACCATGCCCACGTATGACAAACCATTCTATATGTATGTTTCAAACATATACAAATCAATCCAGCTAACCAAGAGAGCAATGATACAAGACAGTACTGCAGTAAATAAATATTCTAGAAATGCCTCATTTATATTGCTGTGAAACAGCAATAATGGCTCCCTCTGTTCTGATTTAACCTCAACCACAATTAATGTTGCATGAATGCAACATCAAGCTACACCATATGAAAATAGTGTATGGCAACAAAGGGGAGCAACACAAAATGCAAATGGCCTTTGGCGCTCACACGAAGGTCTTATGATTGCTCCTACACCATTGCTTACAATCCTGATCTCTGATGCGCACGGTTTTGACCATTGCGCGAGGATCAGTTTGACCTTTATAAGTTTGCTGCACACTATGCTGCAGACAGCATCTGAAGTTCTTGAAAACAGAAATATAAGCACCAAAGAGGGCATTTTAAAGGGCATCTGGGGGGTCAGGGTCTCTCAACAGTTGATGGGCCTATGCCAAACATGCGACTATAAAACATAAAGCATTATTTGGACTCATTGTATTAAAACCTGTTGCATTATAAAGACAAACTTGTACAAAAATTGATTCTTGCTCTATTATTTAATATGATCACATTTATTGCTACTGTCTGTGTCTACCAGACATATTTAGATGAACCCTTTTCACAGACTGTCGACACCTTTGCGCAATAATGAACTTTGTAAATGTGTCTGTTAGTCAACATGTTCTGTTACACATGCTGCATTTGGAAACTTTTCATTCAGTCATGCTAAAACAATGTGATTAGAAGGTGAAACATGAATGGAGTGAATGTTTTACACCCGAACATATAAAATCTTCAGCACTGCTTGTTCTGATCTGACCAAAAGAGAAATGGGCATATGGTAATTGCTGTGAATTTAGTCTAATTAGAATTGTCAAGAGGTTTTATCATCCATTAGAGATAGCTGGATTCACTATACATACAATAAGCATAGCAATGAATACACAACAGTCTAGTGGTTGAAGAGGTGACTGAAATTTGAAGTTTATGCTGGTGAAATTATGTTCGTGTTCATTACCTTAAAAGGCTATAGTGCAGATAATGACTAGAAAACCTAAAATAACAATTAATGGACAAATGAGAGGAGTCGACTAATGCACTCTTTCAGTTAGATTGCATATTATTTTCCTCTAATTGAAGTGTTTCCCTAAAATCTAACAACGTGGTCTGATAAAATAACATCTCTACTTGAGTCATAAGTGATAAATTATTATTAAGATTCTTTCAAACGGCTTGGAAATAGACCCCCTGCAGACAGATACAAATGTTGTGGGGGGAAATGAAACGCTGCTGAGGGACTATTTTCCAACATTTCACCCATCTAACGACTCGCGTAATGGCGAGGCGGAGGAATATCCGAAGCCATCGCGCAATTACCTCAGATTATATGTAAGCATTTGGGTTTGCTGTCTGAGGGCCATAAAAGAGAATTCCATTTCAAATGTGTTTTTCACTCGATGGAAAGAGTTTCTCTTTCAGACGAAACAGACCCCCTTTTTTTAAAGGTAATAATTTACCTGTCAGAATCGCAGCGGAAGCACAGCAAGACGCCACTTCACTGAGGCACTAATGGAAAATCCATTCTGTTTATGTTTCGGAGAATCCCTGAAAATGCTTGAATGATTGTTAAATGTAACTAATTTAGCGTCTTTATATCTTTCCAATTCTCGCAACACATTATGAGGAGCGCGGCTAAATAATGATTCATTTTTCAGACTGAAATAATAGTTACAAATATGTCTGTTTACTTGAGACGGTTTGGAAATGAATCATGTACTTTACCTCATTGTATAGTATTAAAAACTGAGAAAAGAGCGTTTCTTAATCATATTTGCTAATAGATTAGCTGAAGATTACAAAATACTGTGAATAACAGTATTGATTGTGCAGCCAATGATCTAGTGGAAAATCTAATACAAGTCCGTCATCGTCTGGTAAGTGTGTGAATTACATTATACTTGCATGTATGACTTGCTGTAACTCTTTTGTACAAAAACAAATATTTAATTCTAAACGAAAGTAGTTTGAAAATGGTTTATTTTCAGATAAAGCCAAGAATGTCAAGACAATCTGTTGGATTTATCATAATTTAAATATCATTCACAGTCATAAAGGCTCAGTTTAAATCCTTAACGCTCATTTTCAGCCCACTTTGTAGTATCGTCCACTGTTTCCTCGCAGCATCTCCTCCACCTTCTCCAGCAACTTCACCACATCAGATTCCCGGTGTCCATTGTCAAGCACATGGCATCTATTCCCACACTTTCGAACCAGCCGCTCCAGGTCGCTGTTTCTCTTAATATGCTGCTGGACGCTCTCTCCTAATGTTTCCCCCCAGGTGAGCAGAACAATAGTGTGCCTCCACGATGCTTCTCCTAGCGCAGACATGGTACGTTCTACCTCACACCTGTACGGACCAGTGAAGGATACGTAAGCAGGAATCACCAGGATGAAGGCGTGTGGTCCAGGTTGACACAGAGACACACTTTGAGAGAGATGTTTTTGAAATATGTCTTTACTGTCAGATGCAGATCTCCATTTCAGGCCCTGAGGCTCTATGAGAGTGAGCTGCCTGCCGAATATGTCTCCCCTCCAAGGGTTGTTGCTTCTTTCTGCATCAGGCCCCACGATGGTGCATCTCGCTGGGTGACGGGACGACCAGGAGTCTCCTAAAAGCATCAGCCTTAGCTCAGACACAGGCCAGGGTGTATGTAGGGCAGGTTGGAAACTGGTGCTTGAGGATTCATAGAAGTCTTCCTCACTTTCGCCATCAGAATTGTCACTCTCACCATCTTTCCCTTTTTGCTTGGCCTCTAGTGTTCGTTTAACCCTTTGATTCTTTACCAATCTGTTATTTGCACAGTTAATAGTAGCCAACTCCAGTTGCTCTTCACTTCTGGTGTCTTTTGCATCACAAACGCCACCATCCACTCCTACTTCTTGATGCATTCGATGGATGTCTTCGGCTTCAATTCGTTTCCCATTCAATTCAGCGCTGTTTGTCAATCGCTGATACCCTGAGAAAGACTCTTTGTGTATCCATTTGAGCTCTGTGTTATAAAAATACTTCTCCCATTTCTCAAGTTCTTCTCGCTTCTTCTTCACCTTGTCTTGTTCATTATTTAGCTCCAGCATTTTGCTGTCCAGTTGGTTTTGACATTCCTCAAGCTTTTTCTCTCTTTCATCTAGTGTTGTTTTCTGGAGCTCCAGCATTTGTGTTTTGTTCTCAACATCGCTCGCTTTCTTTTTCAGATCTAATTCTTGGTTCTGCAAAAGTTTGTGTTTATCCGTCATGTCATTATCTCTCATTGCAAGCTCTGATTCCTGTTGGCGCAGGTCTGTTTCTCTGGTATCTAAAGAGTGTTCTCTGTCTTTCAAAACATCCTGCTGTTTCTTGAGACTGTGCAACATGTCTTCATGCTGTTGTTCCCTATTTTGCATGACTTGCTGTCTTTTCTCCAAATAGATTTCTTCACTCTTCAGCTTCTGCTCTCTTTGAGAAAGTGCTTCTTCGCCTTTTATCAGCTCTTGCTCCCTTTTTCCTAACGCTTCTCTAATGCTCTCGAGCTCCATGTCGCGTTTGTCAAATGAAGCTGTCTGGTTTTGCTGCTTATTTTCCAGATCTCGATGTTGCTCCATTAGTCTTTGACCTTTGAGTTCAAGGTCCTGTTCCCTCTGCTCAAGTGCTTGCTCCTTTATCTGCAGTCCATTTAATTTTTGCAGAAGATCATATTCCTTATTACTCAACTCGGCTTGCCATTTCTCCACATTGTGTTTGTTATTTTCAAATTCCTCTGAGATCTTTGACAGCTCTTGGGTTTTCACTTCCCACATCTGCTCTCGTTTATTAAGTTCATTTTCTCTCATTTCCAAATTTGCTCTGAGCACCTCCAAAGATTTTTCTTCTTCCTTAAGCCTGCGTTGTTCTTTAACAAAATTTGCCTCCGTTTTCAGCAGCTCTTGTTCTCTCCTCTCCAGCTGCTGTCTAAGATTTTCCATATTTTTCTCCTGCTTTTCAGTCAGATCTTTCATTTCCATTTCCTTGGTCTCCAGTATATTCTCCATTGCTTGTAGCTCATCCTTTTTACATTTTATCTGCTGCTCCTGCACTTTTAAATTTTCCTCTCTATCCATAAGCTCTTCCGCTCTTTTCTCAATCTCCTCTCTCATTCGCACCAGATCTACAGCCAGACGTTTGTTATTCTGACTCTCGTTTTCCAGATTCTTCTCCTCTTCTCTAATCCTGTACATTTGCACATCCAAATCCTGTTCTCGCCTATTCATTTCATCAACTCTATTTACCAAATCTCGTTTGTTTTGTGCTAATTTCTCTTCCTTCTTTTCTATCTCCCTTTCTCTCCTGTGAAGCTCTTGTTCTCTCTCTATTTCTTTCATCTCATGCTCTTCATGCCTTTCTCTTAATCTTTTCTCATAATATGCCTTCATGTCTTGCATATCGCTCTCTTTCTCTTTCTCCTTCTCCTCCTGCAGCCGTTTTAACTCATCTATCTCTTGTTCAAACCCTTTAATTTCTTTCATCTGTTTCTCATAGCGATTTAACTCACTCTGAAGATCTTTCTCATAGCCCTCACATTTACACTTCAGCTCTTCTAATTCTTTTTCCAGTTCTGCATTTACTTTTTGTAGGACGTTGTTTTGTTCTCGCTCTTCCCTCATCTGTTGTCTCAGCTCGTCCAAGTGTCTTTCTGTTTCCTCATGCTGTTTTTTTATGTTTTCCATCTCCTCTTCCATCATTGCATTCTTTCTTTTGTAGGCCTCTATTTTTGCATCAAACTCTTCTTCTAGATGTTTTAGTTGAGCAGCAGCTTCTTCGGTATTTGCTTGAATGCTGTTTTCCAGCTTTTCTATTTCTTTTCCATGTTTTTTGTTGATGTTTTGCAGCAGTCTGTCCATTTCATTGTCTTTCTCCATGTCTTTTTGGTTTAATTTGGTTATTTCAACATCTTTTGTCAGTAGTTCTTCCTCTAAATGTTTTTGTTTAGCTGCACTTTCCTCGACATGTGTCTTAATACTCTCTCTTAACTTTTCAACCTCTTTCTGTTTTTCGCTAACGTTTTCTCGCATTGTGTTCATGTCTCTGTCTTTTTCCATGTCTCTTGCTCTTAACTGGATCATTTCGTTGTCTTTTATTTTGAATTCTTCCTCTAAATGCTTCAATTGAGCAGCACTTTCTTCAATATTCAACTGCATGCTGTCTTTTAATTTTTCAGCATCCTGCTGTTGGCTAATAATATTTTTCTTAAGTGTGTGAATTTCTGTGTCTTTCTCCAGGTCTCTTTGTCCTAATTTGGTTATCTCCTCTTCTTTTATTTCCAGCTCTTCCTCAAAATGCTTGCGTTTAGCTGCACTTTTTTCAATATGTGCTTCAATATCATCTCTTAACTTTTCAATGTCTTTCTGTTTTTCGCTAATGTTTTGCCTAAGCATGTCAATCTCTCGTTCTTTCTCCTGGTCTCTTTGTCTTAATTTTTCATTTTCTTCTTCTTTTACCTTCAATTCTTCCCATAAAAGTTTTAGTTGTACTGCATTTTCTTCAATTCTGTCTTCTAAGTTTTCAATATCAGTTTGTTTTTCGTTAATGTTTTGCTTTAGTTTGTGAGTGTCTTTGTCTTTCTCCAGGTCTCTTTGTTTTAATTTGTCTATTACAATTTCTTTTGTTTTCAACTCCTCCCTCAAAACTTGAAGTTCAGCTGCGTGTTTTTCCGTATTTGCCTGCACAGTGTCTTTTAACTTATCTATATCCCTCTGTTTTTCGCTAATGTTTTGCTTCAGTGTCTCAATTTCTTGCACATTTTCCTGGTCTCTTTGTCTTAATTTAACTATTTCATTATCTTTTTGCTGAAGTTTCTCTTGCGTTTCAGCATTTCGATGTAGCTCCTTTTCTTTCTCTCTCATGGTTCGCTCTATTTCCTCATCTTTCCCTTTTTGGTTTAATTTGGTTATTTCAACATCTTTTGTCAGTAGTTCTTCCTCTAAATGTTTTTGTTTAGCTGCACTTTCCTCGACATGTGTCTTAATACTCTCTCTTAACTTTTCAACCTCTTTCTGTTTTTCGCTAACGTTTTCTCGCATTGTGTTCATGTCTCTGTCTTTTTCCATGTCTCTTGCTCTTAACTGGATCATTTCGTTGTCTTTTATTTTGAATTCTTCCTCTAAATGCTTCAATTGAGCAGCACTTTCTTCAATATTCAACTGCATGCTGTCTTTTAATTTTTCAGCATCCTGCTGTTGGCTAATAATATTTTTCTTAAGTGTGTGAATTTCTGTGTCTTTCTCCAGGTCTCTTTGTCCTAATTTGGTTATTTCCTCTTCTTTTATTTCCAGCTCTTCCTCAAAATGCTTGCGTTTAGCTGCACTTTTTTCAATATGTGCTTCAATATCATCTCTTAACTTTTCAATGTCTTTCTGTTTTTCGCTAATGTTTTGCCTAAGCATGTCAATCTCTCGTTCTTTCTCCTGGTCTCTTTGTCTTAATTTTTCGTTTTCTTCTTCTTTTACCTTCAATTCTTCCCATAAAAGTTTTAGTTGTACTGCATTTTCTTCAATTCTGTCTTCTAAGTTTTCAATATCAGTTTGTTTTTCGTTAATGTTTTGCTTTAGTTTGTGAGTGTCTTTGTCTTTCTCCAGGTCTCTTTGTTTTAATTTGTCTATTACAATTTCTTTTGTTTTCAACTCCTCCCTCAAAACTTGAAGTTCAGCTGCGTGTTTTTCCGTATTTGCCTGCACAGTGTCTTTTAACTTATCTATATCCCTCTGTTTTTCGCTAATGTTTTGCTTCAGTGTCTCAATTTCTTGCACATTTTCCTGGTCTCTTTGTCTTAATTTAACTATTTCATTATCTTTTTGCTGAAGTTTCTCTTGCGTTTCAGCATTTCGATGTAGCTCCTTTTCTTTCTCTCTCATGGTTCGCTCTATTTCCTCATCTTTCCCTACGAGTTTATCAATGAGTGTGTTGTATTTCTCCACAGTTTCTGCATGCATTTCTCTCTCGGCTTCTGTCGTTTTCACTTGCTTTTGATAGGACATCCGTAGCTGCTCCATCTCTTTGGTCATCATCTCTATCACCTCGCTCAGCTTGTCCATCTCTTTCTCTCTCTTCTCAGCTTGTTTACTGAATCTCTCACTTTGTTCTCTTTCTCTGCCCTCAGTGTTCAGTTTCACCTCCTCGATTTCTCTTAAAATGTTTTCAGTTTCATTGTCCTTTTCTTTCAGTTTATTCTCCATCTCTTGCTTTTGCCAAACAGCCTCTTTTTCATACCTGCGTTGTGATGCATCCATCTCTTTTTGAGCTTCCTCAACCTTTCCTCTCATCCTATCATTATCTTTCTCAGCGTCCAACAGTTTGCTTTGAAGTTCATTTATCTCATCCAGGTGTGCATGCTGAATCTCAGCCTCGCTCTCTTTCCATTCTTGCTCTTTCACGGCACCCATGCGCTCCATTTCCAGCAGTTTCATCTGAAGTTCTTCCACTTTCTCTTTAAGTTCTTCCCCCTCTCGCTCTCTCTCCTCTAATCTCATCAGCAGTTGCTCTTTCTCTTTCAGTGCCTGATGGAGAGTCACCATGACTTTGCTGATTTCAGCGCTCAGCTCTTGTATCTCTCGCTCCTTGTCTTCCGTCAACCACGCCATCCTCTCCTCCAGCTCACCCATCACGCTTCTCCTGTCATCTTCGCCTCGGTACAGCACCTCTTCCCTCTCAGTCTTCCCGGGAGATTGTACTTTGTCTTTTTTGCGTCTTTCGAAAAACCACCGAATGCTCCTGACCTCTCGTTCCTTCATCTTCTTCAGTTCTTCCTCCTGCCGTTGAAGCTTCTCGCTAAACTCCTTGACCTTCAGCTGGAATTTCTCATTCTTTTGTCTCCCTAAGTCTTGAATCTCATGCACTAGTGGCGAGAAGGCCTCGCAACGATTTCCCGCCACCATCTTCTCGATCTTCTCCAGAAGTTCCGTTATCTGTGTTTTGGAATTCCGAGATTCCAAACAAGAGTTGCTGCTGATGACGTGGAACCTGTTTGAACATCGTTCCACCAACCAACGAAGATCCTTTCCTCCTCCTTGGATGTGCTGCTCGATGGTGACTCCCTCTCGTAGCTGGTCGCCCCTCGTGAATAAAAGAAGTGTATGTCTCCAAATTGCCTCTCCCAAAAGCTCCAAGTGCTCCCGCACTGACTGTGCTTGGACGAGCGCGTCCACTCTCAATGCCAGTAGAAATGCATGAGGTCCAGGAGGACACAGTGTCACGCTCAGTCCGATCTCTCGCTTCACTCTCTCTGGAGTTAATCCCTCCGGTCCACCCTCCCATCCGGGCACATCCACCACCGTCACCAGTCGGTTAGAAACCTCCGTCTGCTGTCTCGAGCACTCCTCTGTGGCTGCTCTGCTTTGAAAGTATCCCGGTCCTCCGAGGATGGCGTTCCCGGCGGAGCTTTTCCCCGTCTCTCTCTCTCCCAGCAGAACCAGTCTCAGCTCTGGGAGACGCCGTGAACCTCTGGAGAAGAGATTCCTCTCATCCAAGTCTTCAGTTTGTGGATTATCATCTAGCAGAGACAGGAGAAACAATACACAAAAAAAATAAAATAAATAAATGAAGCTTTTAGTTGTAAATAATGGCTTTTGTTCAAATATTATTAAGATACAATATTATTATTATTAAGTGTGTTTGTCAAACAAAGGTTAACTACATCACTTTGAAAATGTATTATGTAGGCCTCTATTAAGATCTTACAAAATTGTAGTGTTTGCATGCCATCAGATCACACATAGAATTTACATATTTGCATTTCTGTTGGACTGTACTGTTTTTAATGTAAATAGACAAAAATATTATTCAGCGATGTGTTTAACTGATGTACAGTATTTTAAAAAGTATCACCTGAATTTTAGAATGTATTTTACCATTTTTGTCTTGTATTAGCATTAAATATCTTATATTGTGTTTTGTTAATTGACTTTTGTTATTTATTCCGTTTTCACCTTGAAAATAGCCTTACTGCTGAAATGGAATTATAAATTAATTAATTCCATAATTGGGGTTTACATAATCATTCACTTTAAGGGCTCTATCAGACGCCCGGCGCAATGCGGCGCCAGGCGCGACGCAAGTGTTTTTTGCTAGTTTCAGCCCAACGCAGTTGTCATTTTCACGTCCTGTGCCACGATATTGTGTTTTGTTAATTGACTTTTGTTATTTATTCCATTTTCACCTTGAAAATAGCCTTGCTGCTGAAATGGAATTATAAATTAATTAATTCCATAACTGGGGTTTACATAATCATTCACTTTAAGGGCTCTATCAGACGGCCGGCGCAATGCGGCGCCAGGCGCGACGCAAGTGTTTTTTGCTAGTTTCAGTCATAGACTGTATAAAAACATGGACGTAGTGTCCGTGACGTCACCCGGGGGAGTCTATGGGATTGACTCCCTTTTGCAGCCAGCCACTTCCGCGCTGGCTTCATGAGAGAGAGCGGGAGGTTGCCGCTTGGTTTCAGGCCGATGCAGTTGTAATTTGCACGTCCTGCACCACGTTGTTTAAATAGCAAATGCATTTGTGCGCCCATGGGCGTGCTGGTCTGAAAACAAGGTGTGTTCAGGCGCATTGCTATTTTGAGGCAACTGAAATAGACTGCACCATTGACCAACTTAAACCTGGTCCAAAGTCAATGGCACATTATTTTTTTTATTTGTTATTTAAAGAGCTCGTTAGCAATATGTGCCTATAGGCGAGTCCACAACGCACGTACAGTCAACAAAAACCTGGTCTAAAGTCTGGCGCAATATTTTTTATTTGTTATTTAAAGAGCGCACTAGTAATATGCGCCTATAGGTGGGTGCACAACGCGCGTACACTTTGCTTATAACACACACAGGGACGCGCAGCAGCACATAAACATTTTTAAAAAATGAAAAATTACATTCCGCCATGTAAATAGCGAACCCGCCATGGCGCGAGCGCAACTGGCTTTTAAAGGGGATGGACATGAGACTCTGATTGGTTTATGGCACGTTACGCCCAAAACACACCCATTACTCGTTAAGAGAATAGGGACTACCCTTTAAGACCATGGGCCGGGCTCGCCGACCATTTTTCCCGTCCTTAAACTAGCAAAAGTGGATTCGGACACGCCCTAAGCGCAATTGCGCTGTGCGCTTTAGACCATGCGTTTAGATCGTTAAAATAGGGCCCTGAATTTTTTTTTTTTATTAAAGTAAACATGCTCCAAAAAAATACAAAATACCATGAATACTATACATGTTTTTTTGTGAGATTATTTATTTATTTATGTATTTACTTTTTTATTTTTATTTATTTATTTTTGCATTATATGGAAAATTGCTGCATTAACAGTTTTGTGTGTGTGTGTGTGTGTGTGTGTTTCACAGAAAGAAATAGGCGAATGTACATACAAACTTGGAGCAACATGAAGTGAGTAAATCATGACAAATGATTTATTTCTGTGTGATGATTTTGTGGAGAGAAGAGATGTCCTGTACAGTGCTGCAGTTGGCAGAATTCTTTATTTATTGAAATTACTTTTTGATCTTATAACCTTCAATCTTTGCTGTTGAAAATGCTGTCATTTCAATAAATATAAGGGTTTCTGAAAGTTAAAGCATTGTACAGAACTTCCAACGGGGTTCTCATGATTATGAATGTTAAAATTGTGTTTACAAGGACTGGAAAAGGAAATTTATGAAAATTAATAGAAGTAATGGACATTTCTGGAGTGAATGTACATTTTTGTAGTTACGCTCTGCTCTAAAATATTTAATCAGCCAGTGTTTGGTAAAATGTTTGAGTGAATCATTCTTTTGTGAGTGAATCATTCTTAGAACCAATTCAAAGGAACTGTTTAATTTTTGACAAACCATTTTAGAAGTTTAATCTGAATAGATAATTTGGCAATTGGAATTAATCAAAGTTATTTAAAAAAAAATCTTCTAAGTCTAAAAAGATAATGGAAAATCCAGTGTTGTCAGACAGTTGGAACCTATTGTTCAATTTCCTCTCTAGAGAAACATTTATGCAAGTATCTGAAACTCACATTTAGAAAATAGCTCTGACTTCCGCACAATACAATAATATACAATCTGTCTGTGTTGAATTGAAAGAACTACAAAAAAAGTGCTTTTGTCTTATTTTCCAGTACAGTTTTCTAAACATCCTTAAATCAAGATACATGACATTGTTTTCTGAAAAAGTTATCAAAAATGAACTGAGTTTATGCTTAAAACAAGAAAACAACTGCCAGTGGGTTTAGAACAATACACTTGTTTTGCCTTTGAGTTAATTTTTCATACTGCATTAGCAGTTATGTTTTCTTGTTTTAAGCACAAATTCAGTGCATTTTGGTAAATTTTAGGCTTAAACTCATGACATTTTGCATCACAAGTAAATGTATATCTTGTTTGAGCCTTAATTCTCTGTCATTTTGACCTGAAACAGTATTTTAATGTTAATAATTGCGTTCATCTGAATAAGTATAGTAGAAAAGTAGAAATACTAAGGAAGAACATCACTTTTAATAGTCTACTCACTCATCAGCACGGCTCTGATGGTTCCTCTATGCGTCTGTGCCTCCATCAGCCTCTGTTTTTTCCTCCTTTCTCGTGCCCTCCGTTTGCTCTCTACCTCCAGCTCCAGAAGCAACAGATCTGTCTCATAATATCTCCCCTCTCTCTCTTCCATCAGTTTATGCATCTTCCTCATCAGTTCCTTCACCTGTGATCCATCGTCAACGCGCCGCTTGTTCTCCAAAACGTGGAACCTGTTTCCGCATCGTTCCAGGAGCATCTGGCAGGCCTTGCCGCCGTTTCGAATCCTCTGTTCGATGGGAACGGAGCCCAGTTCATCCCCTCGGGTGAACAGCACCAGCGTGTGATCCCACACCGCTTTGCCCAGCAGTTCCAGATGCTCCTCGATCTGCCGATGGTAGTCGGCTGTCACTGACGTACAGGATCTCACCACTAGAAGGACGGTGTGGGGACCTGGTGGACACAAGGTCATGCTTCGCTTCGTTTCTCTCCTCACCCAACCTGGAGTCCCATTCACAGAATAGTACCATTCCCAGCCTGGGGTGTCCACAACTGTAACGCGCCTTCCTGCCACGTCGCCTCGCCTCTTCACGCACTCCTCGGTCGGTTTGCCTGTCTCAAACCCTCCCGCCAGGCCTAGGATGGTGTTTCCCACTGAGCTTTTCCCAGCACCTTTGCGGCCTAGTAAAACCAAGCGAAGTTCAGGAAGAGAAGATAGCTGGTGACTCAGACTTCCTCCATTGGCCTCAGCTGCCTGTGGCCTCTTGTCTGTGAGAGAAAGGTAATGTTTGGTGTCATGTCACTGTCTTTTTAGAGAGACAAAGCCTGAATTACCCCAAAAGGTATGTACAGACCTAAGCCATACTTAAAAAACATCTGAGTTTTATTGCATTAAATAACAAAATTTCAAAGCAAATGTCAAACAAACACACATTTAAAGAAAAACATTTGACAAAAAGCAGTTTGTTGCTGTGACGAGATATAGTGTTGAAAATGAGGACAGTAAGTATTGTGACACACTTTGTTGGTTTGTTAGTGAAGAATAAAGATCCCGCAGCATTTTAGATATTCAGATTTGCTTGCTTTTGATATTTGATATTTGATATGACCACTTGCTTTGATATTTTGTCTAATGCAATGACATTCATGTTTCCTCATTTGTGTGCATGTCCATATATGTCTACATCTACTTCAATCATGATCATACTTATCTCACCCAAGAATAAGGGATCCTCGCTCTGCGTTTCCATCTTTGTCCGTCTGTCTTCGTTCTCCTTGGTTCTTCCTCTTAAGCTATATTTTTGACATCAACATCGTTTCATACCTCAATAACTTTTAGACATAAGCGATTGACTTCATACCATACATAGAACAACAGTAGAGCGGAACAGAACGCTGACCGTGAAAGTGTGATCACGTGACTAACCTGTGGTTTTCTGTAACTCGCACAAGGAAGCACCGTCTACTGCTCGCATGGGTATATGGCGGAAATCAAAGAGGAACCTTGTGGTCAGTGTTGCTCATGCCATATGTGCTTTAACTTACTCTATATCATGATGCTTTGTTTTGAATCAGTATTTGGTGCTCAGGAAGGTTCATTTGTGTCGAATGCATCAGGGGGAGTGTCTTGATCAGATAAAAACACACACACACACACACACACAAAATATACTTATGACCTGCTAGTCCCACCAAAAAATGTTAATGAAAAGCCCATTTATAAGCTGTAGACTGTGTCCAACCTGTGTTATGCAACTAGATTTAACTTGCTTGTTAATCTGCTTCGACAAGCTCTCATATTGTACCAAGGCATTACATCTTCTGCGTTCAAGTTCATGGTGTAAGAAAGTTGCCTGTTCTCCAGAGCTGCTGCTCAATCTAAAGTTGAGCTCATGCCTGTGACTCATACTCTCCCAAAGCGTCCAAAGGGGTTCGGACATCATGTTTCCCCTAAGAAACTTTGGCAAAACAAGATATTTCCATATAGAACGCCTGAAGCAATGACACAAAGTGCCCAGAAGATCCATAATGCAATATATAGTCATTTGAGAGTGGAACAAGACTAAATACATTTAAAGGGGTCATCTGATGCGATTTCAAGTTTTCCTTTCTCTTTGGAGTGTTACAAGCTCTTGGTGCTGAGGGGAACAGGGTCACATCACATGAGAGTGAACTGTCTGTCAGAAATCATAGCACGTCAGCTGTCTTAACCACGGCTTGTGTACTGCATCATCACTGTGTCTGTCACGCGACTCTGTTGCCCTTTCGGGCTTGAACTGATGGTAAAATTAACGACATTATTAACTGTCTTGATATTTACTTTGAAAGCTGAAGCTCGCGATTATGGTAAGGGGCGTTACATTTCCGACGAGTGCTTGCGGTGTTCGGCCAATCACAATGCACTGGGTCAGCTGGCCAATCAGAGCAGACTGCGCTTGTCAAAGGAGGGGGCTTTGTTGAAATCGACGTGTTTGAGAGAGGCGGGGCATAGAGGACCTACAATAATGTACAGTATTTGAAAAATAATGTGTTTTTTGAACATTAAAGCATGTCAACATATTCTGTTACACCAAATACACGAAATAATGACCTTTAAAAATAGCATCATATGACCCCTTTAAGATAAATTAATATCTTATGCAATATCTTTTGCTTCTCATGTCAATCAATTTTGTGGTAAGGATGTTTACTGGAATCCAAACATACTGAAGAAAGGATATCAGTTTTACTGTTTAAATAGTGGAACATTTTCAGTGTAATAAACGCTATCTGTACTTTTTCTGCCTTACAAATGCAATATGCAGAAACTCCGTCAGCAGTGGAACTGAGGGGGAAAAAGTTGAGTGAATGATGACTTGAGTGAGTGAATTTGATTGATTTGATATCAGTTTTCATGGAGCCACACCCCACAGGACAGAGCCGATTTAAGTCATAATTCAGTTTTGAAAGTTACTGTGTTTTGCTGTTTGCAAGATTCTTAAAAACAAAGAAACCTTGATGTTTGCATCCCACATTGCACATTTTGAATCAGTGCTTTTATGCATATCGTGCTTTTAAGAGCCCTACGAAAAGTAAACAATCCATTTATCAGTGAAGCATTATTATGGATTATGGATTTGGCCAGAAGCAACAGTTTAAACACCCATTCACTGCAGAGGATCCATTGGTGGGCAAGTGATGAAATGCTGAATTTCTCCAAATCTGTTCCCATGAAGAAACAAACTCATCTACATCTTGGATGGCCGGAGAGTGAGTACATTTTCAGCAAAGTTTCATTTTTTGGTGAATTATTCCTTTAAATCTGCTCTGCCCAGGCAGAAGAGAAGGACATGATAGATTCCACACTTGTGTCTTTATTCAGTCACATTTCTGTTCACTACAAGCCACACTAATGCGGTAGCTTGCACTTCCACTCTAATCTCACACATACACACCCTCTGCTTTAACAGTGCTAATCTGCATAGACACGCCCACCATGATGTGTGATGCTGCTCTTACAGACACAGCGTTATTCCAGCCCTATATATAAATGAAGGCAGAAGCCATACTGATGTTCTCCCAGACTCCAGGTTCCAGTTTCTGCAGACCAGTGCCACCTTTCTATCTAAAAATAAACCAGGTTAGTGCACTTTAACATGTTTAATAGTGAAGTGTTCAAATTGTCAACTACTGTTCAAAAGTTTGATTGCTCACCAAGGCGGCATTTATTTGATTAGAAATACAGTAAAAGCAGTAATATTGTGAAATATTATTTAAATTTAAAATAACTGCCTTCTATTTGAATATATTTTAAAATGTAATTTATTCCTGTGATCAAAGCTGAATTTTCAGCATCATTGCTCCAGTCTTCAGTGTCACATGATCCTTCAGAAATCATTCTAATATGCTGATTTGCTGATCAAGAAACATTTCTGATTATTATCAATGTTGAAAATGTTTGTGGAAACAGTGATGCATTTTTACAAGTTTCTTTAATGAATAGAAAGTTCAAAAGAACAGCATTTATTTGAAATGGATATCTTTTGTAACATTATAAATGTCTTTACTGTCACTTTTGATCAATTTAATGCATCCTTCTTGAATAAAAGTATTGATTTAAAAGTACTGTAAAAAAAAGTATTGAAATATTGAAAATGTTTTTAACAACTTTAACATTTAAAACTGTAATGAATATTTGCAATTCAATCATGGCGAGATGTGCGGATCCATTTGCAAGCGTTATTTAGAAGACGTGGTCAGAAACAGGCATAGGTCAGACAATGGCAAACTGGTATGTAGAAGACAAGGCAAGAGCAGTCCGGTAAACAAGCGAGGGTCAGTCGACGACGAACGTAATCCAACAGGGCGAGACTAGAGAGATAATCCAGGTACAAGGCAAAGGTCCAGACGGGCAAACAGTATCCGAACAGGGCAAGACGAGAGAGGTAATCCAAAGTACACAGGCAATGATCAGAACATGAGGAAACAGACAAGGCAAGACTAAGATAAGGCTAGAAAACTAAAGCAGGCTCCGTAAGGTAGCTATCAGCTATAGCAGTGATACACGCTAAACAATACTCGGCGATCTGAGCAGGAACTGAGTGGGTGTTATGTAGTGTGTGTGACTGGTTTCAGGTGAGAGGTGTGATTAGTGAAATGGTGCATGGGAAATGTAGTCCGTGGTGACGTGCAACAGTCAGTGTAGTGAGAGTCAAAATATGATGGATGAGTGACCTCTGGTGGCGATCGGACGGAAGTCCACGGATCGGATTCATGACACTTCCCTTCAGTGCACTTCTCCTGTTGCTGATAATATTTACCACATCCAGCTGTTAATGCACATGCACATTTGGGCACTGATATTTAAAGAAACAGAGCACGTGATCTGAAGGAAGTCAAAATGATGACAAGTTGGTAAGGTGCTTTTTCCTGGAAAATGAGTTTACAAACGGACAAAGCAAACAATGTGAGTAAACCTAGTTGTTCAGAACAGACTTTACTATACACAGCCATTCAAAAGTTTGCGATTTAAAAAAAAAAAACTTTTATTCAGCAAGGACACGTTAAATTGATCAAAAGTAATTGTAAAGATATTTAGAGTGTAACAAATGATTTTTGTTTAAAATAAATGTTTTTTTTTTCAACTTTCTATTTATCAACATTGATACTAATCAGAAATGTTTCTTGAGCAGCAAATCAGCATATTATTATGATTTCTGAAGGATCATCTGACAATGAAGACTGGAGTAATGATGCTGAAAATTCAGCTTTTCATCACATGAATAAATAGCATTTTAAAAGAGATTAGGAAAGAAAACCATTCATTTTGAATTGTAATAATATTTTACAGTTTTTGAACATTAGTGCACATTTCTGCACAAAGATAAAGCTCATAATACTATATATGGCAGTGTGATCTGTTGTTGTGCACTAGGACCGAGTCCTCAATACAGCAAGGGCACCTACATTCCTGTTTTCCCCACTGAGGAGTGACAGAGTATTTGGAGAGGCCGGATCGTAGAGACCAGCGAAAATGTTGTCACAATGGGCATCACAACCTCCCCAGAATGCATTGTGGGAAAATACATAATATATATCGGTGTGGTAACCCCCTACGGCATCCGCAGGACAGGAGGAATCCGAGCACAGACATCTACATCCTCTTCAACCCGTGGTCACCAGGTCTGAAATTTATTATTTTATGGGAAAAGCTGCCATTTTATATATACTCTCTTAAAAATGTGCAGTCTCAGTACTTTCTAAATTGTGTGCATGGGGAAAAAAGAGATATGAGCTATGCTAACTGTTGTTTCTTTCAAAGCGGATCCTGTGTTCCTGGATGATGAGGAGGAGGAGCGTGAAGAGTGTGTTATGAATGAGCTGGGGATCATCTATCATGGAGCTTATGACGATGTGTCTGAACGCGCCTGGAACTACGGACAGGTGTGAGGACCAGACAACCAGACGTACATCATGTTTGCAATGGATTCATGTTCTTTAAATGATTGGTTTCACTGTTGATTAGTGTTTCATTGCCTATTTTTATAATATGTGTTCAAGAATAACTGCATGACTGCCTGCAAAATGAATTTGCCCTATATAATTTCTGAAAGAACATTCACATTTAACCTTTGTGAAAAATCACTACATCAGTTATTTATTATTAGACATGCACTTTTATTTTATATTATGCATACACATTTATATATATAATGCTGTTGCGGAAACAAGCTTCCATAATGTCACGGGCAGGGTGTTCTAGAGATCAGGCAGAACGACGAAGATGACGAATACAATGATATTTAATAAACTGACAAAAGGAAATCCAGACAGGGTAATCACACGTAGCACAAAGGGTAGAGTAGACATCAACAATAACCGACCAACT